GTGGGACCGGCGGGGGGGGGCCCCGGCGGCGCCCTCGGGCTCGAGCAGCGCACGGATGACCTGGGCGCCCCGAGCCACGGCGGGCTCTGCCGCGACCTGGCCGCGGGGTGGGGGCTGTGAAGGCCGCCTCCGTCCGCAGCGCTGCCGCAGCGCGGGCTGGTCTGCGACTCTTCGCGCGGGCTCGCGGCGTCGGCCCAGCGCGGCGCGGGCGCCGTGGTGGCCGCGGACGTGCGCGAGCAGCCGCTGCTCCAGGGGCCGGTGAGGGGGCCTCCGGGGGCCGCACATCCGGAGCAGCCTCCCGTGCAGGTTCTGCCGGCTTCCCCGAGGCTGGGGAGCTCCGCCGCTGGCCCTCGTCAGGGCTGGTCACGCCCTGGCGAGTCGGGTGCTCGTTTTGACGGGGGGGGGTCGTGAGCGTGGGGGTGAAGTCGGGCCTGTCCCCTTACAGGGGGATTCTCGACAAAACATAACACAAATACCCAACCAATTCTCCAAAACGGTCGAACAATACAGTCCCCAGACTATCTGTACACGATCTTGGGACATCCCTCCTGTAGAGGGACAGGCCCGACTTGAGCGTGGGGTGAAGAAGCGTGCGCCGTCCGGGCACTCTGTGGACCCGCGGTGCCCACCTGCGGGCCCTTCGGAGCCCCTGTAGAGACCTCCCGCGGTCTTCGATTCCCAACGTTTATGGTCCACCGGTCACCGTCCGCCCGAGCGAGGTGACAGAGCGTCCTCTGGGTTGGGCTTTCCCTTTGGGCATGTTTGTGCACGAACCTTCTCTGGTGTACTCTGCGCAACCTCGAGGCGAGTCCAGCCGTGGAATCGAGGGAAGGGCAGCGGAATCAGTAACTATCCTCTCCTCCTCTGGCTCCGTCTGCATTTGTTCCTTCCCCCCAAATTGCTGCCGATCCCTCCACCCTGCCGCTACGATGCCACGAGCCGCAAATCCCTTCTCTGCACCTCCCGCGCAGCTGGGCCGGGGAGCGCGCGGAAAAGATGAGCGGAGCGACGTCCTGATGTTTTCAGGACGGCGCCCCGAAAACCAGACCCTTTCCCTAGGACCGGATTTTCATCCCGAATAATTTTGAGATGGTCCCGGGGACCGGCGAGGGCCCCCAGGGGCCTCAAACAGCAAAAACTTGCTGTTATGATTTCGACGCGATCATGCCTGGGGAGGAGAAAGGCGAGGGATGTCCAGGATCAGGTGCAGATCAAAGAACGACAGCAACAAAAACTTTCGGGCGTCCACACGGATTTCTGGGATCGGTGCTGGGCCCCCCTGGCGGCCCTCCAGCGCCGCCACTGGCGCGCTCCGGGCGCAAGGGAGGGGCGGCCAGGGAGGGGGTCCAGCGCCGATCCAAGAAGTCCGCGCAAACCTCCAGAAGCATACGTTTGTACCGTTAGGTCCTCCAGCAGCAGCTGCGGTTATCAATTCAGTCTACTAGTTATCAGTTCGGGGGGCACCAAGGTGGGGTAGGGGCAAAGAAGGGTTTGGAGGGAAACTCGCTCCGAACGGCCCCTTGAAGAAGGACACGCGTCAAACGGGATCATCTAGCGGGGCCCGCTACCCAGCCCCACCTTGGGCTAACCCTCCCTCCACGACCCCCCGATCAATGCCCTCGAATCTGTCCAACACGTCCGGTTCGTCCATGCCCTCCGAAAAACGGCCAAGCAGGCACAGGTCACCACCGAAGAACGGATCGAGAAGACGGGCGCTGCAAACCGGGGACTGCAGGCGGGCGGCCGAGGTGGGGCCTCATGACGTGAACCGATGGGTGTGGGCAACCACAGGTGATGAGCTGGCGTTGCCGCTGAGGCTCCCTACGGCGGGTTCGCGTCGTTTCGACCCCAGCGCTGGTTCCTGACACCGCGGGGATCATTCAAAGCTTGAACGATGGGCCGTTCCGTGAACGCCGGATCGATCAACGGCTGGCCGATTCTGGGCCACGGGCGACGTTCAACCTTGAGCGTCCGCGGCGGGGTCGCGACGAGTCGAGACGACGCGAATCTACCGTACGAGTCCTGTCCGTGATCATTTTTGCAGCGCGGTGACAGAACTTGAGCCAATTGCGGCGACACGGCGAGAATTGACCTGAAGCTGCTATCCCGCTTAGTGGGACTGTTAACATAGAGTGCGACATACATTGCAACCCACTCTGGAGGCGGCGTTGCCGCTGAGCCTCCAGGGATCTGGAGACAGATGGCGGTGCAGAGTGCGAACTATGTGACTTGTACTCCATACAAGGCGGATACTCTGCATTAGAGTGTCCACCCCCGCGTGCGCATAAAAGTGTCCAGCCTGGGGGGCCACTTACACTTCACATTCTCTAGCTCACACTCAACATGCAGGATCAGATTTGCAAAACGGCGTGTAAGTTACGTGCTCGACTCAATGTTTGAATTTTTGGCGATGGCGGATGGCCTGGGAACATCCGGGCAGTTATTCAGTGAAGCTGAAAGGAAACGTCGGAGGACCGACCGATGCATGCTGACCGCACCCAGTGCCCCCAGAAGAAGGGCCACACTTTGTTGTGGCGTGCTGGGGCTCACCCGAAGGGGATGGCCACCGAACACGCCGAAGAGAGATCAATACATCCTCTGGTGTGCTAGCCCTGCGATGCTGATGCGCGATGTAATACGTCCGAGGGTTGGTGTTGTGCTGACGCGCGCGCACGTGCAACCACGCACGCATTGCATGAGAATGCATGCATATGGGATGGGAGCGCGTGCTCAGTTACCCATCATCGGTCGGAAGAAGTAGGTAGAAGCATGAAGTAGGAAAGCGTTGAACGTAGATCGGGTTCCGTCCGCCCCCTGAGGAGAACGGAAGAGGTGAAGCCACTCCATCATTGAAGTAGGAGGGCGCTTTAAGTAGATTGAGACCTGGAGATATCCAAAAATACCTGCCTCCAACGACCGACGGGTACAGAAGCAGCTGCGGGTTGGGGAGTGGCGCGCAAGAGTAGCGGGACGGGCAGGGACTCTCTGCAGACAGCGATCACTGTTTCGCCCTCCGCGAAGCGATTCTCGGTCTGCAGCCCGCCCTCCGCGCAGGGGCTGGAGGCAGAAACGCTCGGGGACTGGCAGGATGACAGGATAAGGCGGACAAGGAGGAAGAGGCGAGGAGGAGGAGGAGGCGAGGCGGAGGATGAGGTGGCCCCGTCGTCCCTCTTCATCCTCCCCTCTTTGTGATCCTCGCTCTCCTCCGGCGTCCGATGTCGATGTGTCTTCACGACGATCCCATCGGGGGACCAGCGGGCGGGATGACGTGCTTTGCATGATTCTGCACTGCTCCGCATTGCTTTGCTGTGAATGAGTTTGCTTGCGTCGACATGCACTCGCGCTTATGTTCGTTGCTTTGCGTTGCTTTGCTGTGCATGGTTTGCATCGCATTGCTTTGCATGTTCGTGCATTGCCTTGCATCGAGTTGCGCCACATGGTCTGCACCACCTAGACTGCACCACACTGATTGCCCCACCTGCCCACCTAAATTGGACCGAAACATTGCAAGTAACCACAGTTTGGGGTCCATGCTGGCCAATGTGTACATACACGCAGATATACATATACACACGTAAAAATACATTTGTACATGATATATGTGTATACATCCGTGTATAGTCCCCTCTGGGCGCAGGTGGTCTAACGATCTTGTTCTTTCCTCTTCCGGAAAACCCCTCTTCCCCTTCGGGGAGGGGTTCACCCCTCCCCCTACCCCCTCCCCTGGCCTTTTTCGGCGGCCGGTCGCGGGTGGCCAGAAGGCCCTTTTTTCGGCCCCTGGGAAGGTCAACTTTCGACACCCGTCACGAAGATCGTGGCCCCCGAGAGGGGGGGCCTCGATCGGGAGTTTCCTTCCTGTGATCGATCGCCTCCAAGATGGCCCCAAGAGGCGCTCCAGGGCTCCCAAAGGGAGCCCCAAGAGAGCCCTAACAGGGTTCCAAGAGGGTCCCTTAGAGGGCCCCAGGAGGCACCCGAGAGGCCCCCAAGAGGCCTCAGAGAACCCAGGATGACCTCCAAGATGACCTCCAATATGGCTCGGACAGCCCAGGCTGGCTCAAGATGGCTCCCAAGATGCTCCAAATGGCCCCGAGAGCGCCCACGAACGCTCCAAGAGAGCCCCAAGAAGCGGTCTGCGGGCTCATGAGGGGGGAGCTGAGTTGGGGACCCCCATCATCTTGTAGTCGATGGCCTTCAAGATGATCCCAAGAAACCTTCCAGGGTTACCAAGAGGGTCCCAAGAGGGCCCCCCAAAAACTCCAAGAGAGCAGCAGCAGCAGCAACAGCAGCCGCAATCATACCTCTAGATGGTTCCATGAATGTTCGTCCGCGTCGTCCTCATCGTAGTCCTCTTCCTCCTCGTCCTCGTCCTCATCCGCGTCCTCGTCCTCCTATTTATCCTCGTCCACGTCCTCCTCCTGCTTCTCCTCCTCCTCATTCTTCCCCTTGTCCCCACGCGGCCCCCAAGGATGGCCCGAAAAGGCCTTCCACGGCCACCCACTTTGTTCCCAGAGATTTCTCGGTTCACCCCGGTTGCTCGCTTTGTTGTCCTAGATGTGTCTCTTCGTCATTTTTCCCGTCAGCTCTCATGGTTAGGGCTTCTGAATGGGCTGGCGGGGATACTCTTTGATCGCGACCGCGAGCGGGCACCCGCGCGGCGTCGGAAAAATTCGCGCTGCGAGCAGAAGCCGGTGGACACAGCGCAACTGTCGCCGGCCAGACGCGGGAAAACGGGGGGCACTTCGCCGAGGCAGCGCTAACGTGACGAAAACGGCCAGGCGACGCGCCACGGCATCGAGGGCGAGGCAGGAGAGAGCGATTACGACGAAGATAACGAAACCGAAGCGAGCGAAAAGAGAAGAAGACGGAACGAAAGAAAAAAGCGAATCAGGCGGAAGAGCGACGAACGGAACGAGAAAGAGAAATACACGCGGCGCAGCTCAGAAGCGAAGGACCGGGTAGGTGACAACCATGGCCTTGTTGTGCATCGAGTACTTGCCGCG